GTCATAGATTGTGGCTTATCTCTCTTCCAACTCCTGCTCCCCAGGCCAACTGATACTGTGTAATTAAAAAGGGGTAAATGTGATCTTGGTGTTTTAAATGATTGTTTACATGTAGGTGTTTGTTTCTAGTGCCTTAAAATTGACTATTCTCTAAAACTGGTAAAAATAAAGCCCTGGTTGTGTAGCTTAGTTGGTTAGAACATCATCCCAATACACCAAGGATGCAGGTTTAGTCCCTAGTCAGGGTGTATACAAGAATCAACCAATAAATGCATGAATAAATGGAACAACAAATTGATGTTTCTCTATCTTTCCCTTTCTCTCTCTAAAATAAATAAATAAAAATATTAAAAATAATTTAAAACAAAATAAGTAAAAATAGATGACACTTTAAGACTTTGTATTTTTTATTTAGACTTATCATAGCTATAGCCTAGGGAAAAAACCCAGTCTAACACCACTTATTGTCATATACAGCAAAGTAATGGATTCTGAATAAATGGAATACTCCAGGAGTTGCAGATTCTACCCTTTAGTCAAGTATATAGCTTTGCGGAGACCCTATCTTCAAACATCTATGTGTATGCTAATTTTCTTTTTCAATTCTAATAATTATTCAATTAGAATAATGATTTGTACCAGTTTTTGAATATTTTTAAAAAGTGGGTAGTTTACAGATATAAATTAGAGGTAGGGCTATGAGATTTGAGATTCCCTTCTACCTATAACTAAAACAGTTTTTAAACCTATAACTGAGAAACAGTTTTTAAACCTATAACTGAGAAACAGTTTTTAAACCTATAACTGAAAAACAGTTTTTAAACCTATAACTGAAAAACAGTTTTTAAAACCAACAAGGCTCCTGACCATTACCATATTTGTTTATTGTTCATAGTTATTTCTAGCTATTTCCGAGGGATCTTCTTCAAGCCAGCGTCTAGTTCATAATAACTGATTAGTGTCTAATGTGGAATATGCATAAGAATTGCCAAAGGCTGTGGTAATAAACATTTTATATTTGAGAATTCAGAACATGAATTAGAATGAAAATAATTTCAGGTCTATGTTAATTCACAAATATACACAAAATATCTTCTAAACGTTAAAGTGAAGAACTTTGAAATAATATCTGTGAGTTGAATAGTCAGATTCTATCAGGTCAAGGAGAACTTTTCTTTAGCAATCTGTCCTTAATTTCTTATCATATAATTATACCAAGTCAATCTCTGGCTTTCTTAGTCCACATAATAAAATAAAAACTCATTCATACTTCTTATTTTATTTAATCCTCATTATTATCCTGTGAAATAGATGTTGTTATACCAATTACTGCCAATTCCTGGCACATAATTAGCACTTTACAAGTACTTATACAACTGTTTCATCTTAGTGTTACCCACTCAATTCCAGACATATAGTTAGCAGAGTAAGAAGATCCAGAAACAGAAGGGAATAAGCAGACGCTTTGAGGCTATTGAAGCCAAGAGTGAATAAAAATCATTATGAAGAGAGACAAGGATTTCTCCAGTTTTAGCAGCAAGGGAAGTTGAATCCCAGTAGTGGATCACTATGATGGCTGAACTTCCAGAGACTGATCGATTCTGGGGGATTAGGAGATCACCGCCCGTATAGTTAGAATTATAGTGAATCCTGAGCACGACACAGAGCTCCACGAAGCCCAGCAACACGTGCTAGGACTGCTTCCCCCTTTCCCTCTGCCAATTATTGAGTTAGACCCTCTTTTACTGAGATAACCTATGTCCCTTGCAGTATGAAAAACCCTAAAAAGTATATTGTCCAGTAATTTTTTTCTAAACTCCTTTGGAATGAAAAACTGTCTCTTCACACTTCCAGTCTGACTCTCCAGAGATCAATGCAGCTTTGTCCTTAATGTTTAACATTAAGACTACATAACCCTAAACCAGCATTTATTGGTCAAGAAAAATAAATAAAATACTCCTTAAATGACAAGGTTCCTACACTCTCTTTTATTACATGCATAAATTTGTCAATAACCCTTTTGAACTGTCTCAAATTAAACATAGTATTCTTGATGGGCAGTTTAAGCTCTGGAATCAGAAATGCAGATTCAAATTCAATTCAGTTCTATCACATAGTAATGTACAACTTTGGGCAAGTTATTTAACTTCTCTGTGCCTCAGTTTCTTCATCTATAAGAGGTTGTTTTTAATTTTAAAGAATTGTTATAAGGATTAAATAAGATACTCCATTTAGAGCACTTAGCACAATGTCTGGCAGTGTTAACTGTTACTTTTACTCCATCAAGAACATTTGAAAATTCAAGAAAATTCATTAGTATGTATTAAATGTTGTAAATTCTTAGAGATATATGATAAAAGTCTGTCTGGCCTGTGAAAACTGAATTTTCAAAATTGGAATAATGACAGCAAGTTAGTTGTAGATACTCAAACCCATATCTCTACTCTGGGTCTCTGGGATACCTCCTTAGCTTTCTCCCCTCCTTCTTTTCTGTATTTACTGAGTACCTATTTGTAACTGTTGCTGGTATGGGGATAAAGAGATGGGAGACGTTGCAGAAACACTGGGAATGGCGTTGGGAACACAGACATATAGACAATTACAAAAAACTGTGGTAAATGCCATGATGGAAGTGGTGAGTAGATTCTGTGAGAGACCCAAGGAGAAGCCTCTCACCTAGTGTGAGGGGTGGGGACTAGTGAAAAGGGGAGAGTCAAAGAGGGCATTTTGTTAGAAGTAGATACATGGCTTGAAGGTTGAGTACTAAGGGAAACCAGGTGAAAAGGGAGTTCCAAACAGCAAGGATAACATCTTCAGAGGGCAAAGGATGAGAGGAAAAATGGCTTATTCAAGGAACCACAAGTGGTTCAGTGAGCCTGGAAAGCATAACCATTATAGGTGAGTTGCAAGAGATCAGTTGAGGAGAAAAGCAAAGACTAGAATGGCTAAGGTCCTTACATTTCATGTTAAGGTGTTTGAATCTGTCTTGAATGATTTCACACCATGATTAGACTTGCATGTTGGAAAGATTTTTCTCACATCAGAATAGAAGTCTGATGGAGCCACGTAAAACTAGAAGCAGGGACATGATTTTGGAAGCTCTGTAAAAAACAAATGATGGGAAGTGAAGTAGAAGTGGACATGGAGCTGGGCAGCAGACTTTCAGAGATCTGAAAGAACATTAACACAAATTGTTAACTGGCTGGATGTAAGCGATGGTAAAGGGAAGTGATTAAGAGGATACTGTTTTATAGCTTGAATAAGGGAGTGGATCGTGATGCCATTAACTGAGATGGTGAATCAGAAGGAGGATGTGGCTTGGGAGGGTGTGTGTGGTTGGAGGTGGAAGAGGGTAGAGGTAAAGAGTTCAGTTTTGGATGTGTTGAGTCAGAGGGTAAATGAACAAAAGGTGAGGAAGTAAAGAACAAGCATGTGGACTGCTCTTTCCAAAAATGTACATGTGTAGGGAAAGACTTGTATGAATGGTTCTGTAGGTTCAGAGAAAAACTTTTAGGGCTTTTGTGCATGGTGGCCTCCATTCTCTGAGCAGTTGGAGGCCATGTGATTTCCTGAAAGGTGGGTAGATGATGAATAACCTTGATGAGGAGAGTGGTTAAGTTTAGAACAGCCATATCATGAGTGAGAAGCTGATTGCAAACACAGGGAAACATGGTTAGAGACTATAAAGACAGAAGGTCGCCAATTAGTCACCTGAAAGATTCCCTACAGCTTTCCCCAGGAATCTGGGTGTCAGCCAGGCTTTTCAGAGACTGAGAGAGAGCTGGATACTCCTTCTTTTCAAATCCCTGGTGCACTCAAGCACGCTGGAATGTCAAGAGAGGGTTACAAAATCAAAGTAGGTTTCAAATGTTTACACTTAACAAATTAATGCTTTTAACACACAATGACTACAAGGCAATATAATTGTGCTATTCACCAGAGAATTACAGAATTTACCTAAAATATTAATTCATAATGCATTACAGAATGTCATTTGGTAATGGGACAAAGTTTAAAGTTCTACAATGAATGTTTTTTTGTAATCGTATTGGTATATCTCTGGGATGATAGTATAATATAACCTCAGTTCGACAAAAGGTCAAAGGCTTTTGACTGAAGCTTTTAATAAATGTAGGACTCAGGACTCCATAAGCCTTAGATGTTGGAATGGAAATGACAGATGACTCGATTAATATAGTCAAAAAGATTCAGCTCATTGAAATACATGGGGCAATGGAATTGAGAGCATAGATAATTGAGAGGTTGAAACAATGATTTCTAAACTGAATTGGGAAAGAACAGAAAACAGGAGGGAGTGCTAGGTTGGTGGGAAAGAGAGAGGTTAATATTAAATGAGGTGTAAGTAATGAAACTAGAGAACCAAATGGCTATTAAGAGAATACCATAACATAGTTTGATTTCACAGCCGAAATATTTCTGGATGATGATGGGGTGTGGACACAGGAGTAGATGGCTAACGTGAAGTGGAGATGAGCGTTCACTGTAGTTGAGAAAAGCTAGCATTTTGAGATAGTGACCTATGTGGACATTGAACATGACCCAGGATAATGGTGGATCTTTGTATGAAGAAGGCGACTCCCCATTCCAAGTTGTCTTAAATTGATAATTTCTCTAAAAGTGGGGCTGGAGCAGAAGAGAGGGGACAAAGGATTGAATACATGTTATCATTATCCCATACTAACCTGTGACTGAAATTTTATAGATGAGGAATAGTAAATTGCAAAATCTTGGTTGATCTACGGAGATGCTTACAGAACATAAAATCACTCCAAACAGTCTTTCAATCCACTTATCAAAGCAATTTTGTTCTCATTTTAATGGCAGGTGAAACAATATTGAACAAAGCAACCTCTGCTGTACCCTAAGCCCTTTAATTATAGTGTTCATAGTAGTAAATGCTCTATTTAAGGGACAGGGATTGTAAAACTTCTATTATGATCCCAGGTTTTTAATCTCTTTGGGTCTTAATTTTTTTTCAGTTGAAGTTTTTAATGTGTATTTTCTGTCCAAAGGCTTTGTGTGGCTTGCTTATTGGACATGAGACAAAGGGAATGCCAACAGGATCCTGAGGGGGATTGCTGCAGAGGAGAGACCATGTCAATGCATGTGAAGTAATCTGTGAACATGGACAATGACAGCTGACATTTATACAGAACTCATTACAGGCCAAAGCCTGGACTAAGTACTTACTTTATGTCCATTGACTCATTTAATGCCTCAGCATACGAAGGAGCTGTTATTACCCCTGACCACAATATTAAAGAAGTTAAAGAACAGGAAATACGCAACCTGTCCAATGTCTCACAGCTAGTAAATGGTGGAACTGGTGAACTCAAATCTCTGTAACTCTAGAACCCACAAGTTTATGGTTGAATGCACCTGACATTTTGGGATGGGGGTGGAGGTAAATCGAGGGAGCATCAGGGGCTTCATTGAGGATTCCTTTCTTCAGATGAAATTGAGGTCCACAGCAGTTGATTAGAACCTTTAGAACCTTGAGGACCTGAAGCCTTTTCCCGTGATCCCACCCTCCCACGAGTGATACAGATAATTCCTCAGAATTCTCCTGGGCATGTCCTGGCTGGAGGGAGATTATCTTTTCTCCGGGTACCTTTTCTAGCTTAGACCTATTTATACATTTGTTCCATTAGCATTGCAGACAAAATCATTAAGACAAGAAACTAGGTTTGTTGGTGGATTTAAAATCAGAGTGATGTTGCACAATCCTGTTAATATACTAAAAACACCGAATTGGTTAAATAGATGAACTGTAGTGTTTCTATCTCAGTAAAGCTTATTATTTAACAAATCAGAATGTGTGGGTTAAACATTTTTTTTTTTCATTGCTTTTAATGATTTCAAATGGACTCCTTGCACTGCCACATAGAGAACCAGGTGCCTGGGGTGTGCTCTTCATTTCTTATTCAGTCGACATTCACGGAGTCCACCCTTGTGCCAGGCACAGGGATAAGGAAGACGGCCAGGGGGTGGGCCTTGAGGATGACAGGTAGGTAGGTACACAGAGGAATGCTTGCAACCAAAGTTAAGCACTGATTATTTTTTTTTCCGCTGAGGTTTTCATGACCGTGTTGCAAGTTTCACGGCTAAAAACGTTTTCATTTTTAAAAAAGGCAATTTTGTTTTTCTAGTTATCTCAAAGCTTCAAATTACAGTCATTGATTATACCTTTGAAGGGGGTTTGGCGTATTACGAAGTGAAAAAACCAAGTTAATGTTAAAAAACAAATGGACCCTTATTCAAGTGAGCGCCTGTTAACGGGTATCTATTTTAACCCCAACCTGTCCTTGAGGCTTTAAGGCCGCTTGGCCCTCTGGTTGGCCTAGTTGGGCTAACGCAGGGAGAGTTTAAGTGGATTTACACGACCCCTCCCGACTCCTTTCGGCCTTAGACATTTTGCATCTCAGGGCGAACTGCAAGCCCTTCAACCATTCCCGAGGAACAGGCCGGAGGACTTCCTGCGGCCAAGGGCGGGCGTGTTCTCCATAGAGACCAGAGCTCCGACCCAGACTGGGCTCCACGTTGGTCGTCGGGTCTTCACAGGAGCACTCTGGCCGGGCCCGGGAAGCCCCGGCGGAGGCCTGGACTGAGAGCGAGTTGGTCACTTGCGGCCAGGAGGGGCGTTGGAGGCCGGGAGTCTGCTGGAATGTAGTAACTTGCAGGGGAAAGTTTCCCTCTGCGGCCGGCCCGGATCTAGTGCGGGCGGGCGCGCAGAGGAAGGAAGAGCCGGGAGGAGGCGGAGCCGGTGAGCGGGTCGGGCGGGCGATTCTCTCAACTTTAGTTTTGGCGTCTGAAGCAAGTTTCTGTCTCAGTCCGGCGCAGCCGCCGCCGGGGAAAAGAAAGGGAGGAAGGAAGGAACAAGAAAAGGAAGTAAAAGAGAAAGGGGGAGGGGACAGGCAACTAGCTGTCCGGCATCCGTCTAGGGAGTGAAGGGAAAAAGTTCTCAGGCGCCGCAGGTCCCGGTTTCTCGCAGCCCCTCCCGAGGCGCAGCCGCCAGACCAGTGGAGCCGGGGCGCAGGGCGGGGGCGGAGGCGCCGGGGCGGGGGATGCGGTGCCGCAGCGCAGCCCCCCGGTCCTGAGAGCGAAGAGAGCGTTGCTCCCGCCGCCGAGAGCAACCCGGCCCGCCGCCCTCATCACTTCTCTCGTCTGGGCCCGTCGAGCCGGGGCGCCCGGGCGGAGCCCTCGCCCGCCTGGTCTGGGTGCGCGTCGGGGGAGGCAGAAACCATGGATCCCGGGCAGCAGCCGCCGCCTCAGCCGGCCCCCCAGGGCCAAGGGCAGCCGCCCGCGCAGCCCCCACAGGGGCAGGGCCCGCCGTCCGGACCCGGGCAGCCGGCACCCCCAGGGTCCCAGGGGGCGCCGCAGGCTCCTCCGGCCGGACACCAGATCGTGCACGTCCGAGGGGACTCGGAGACCGACCTGGAGGCGCTTTTCAACGCCGTCATGAACCCCAAGACGGCCAACGTTCCCCAAACCGTGCCCATGAGGCTCCGGAAGCTGCCTGACTCCTTCTTCAAGCCGCCAGAGCCCAAATCCCACTCCCGACAGGTAACCCCGCCGCTCCTCTGCCCACTTCCCCGTTGGGCGGGTCCCGGGCCCGGGGGCGCTCGGAAGCGGCGTCGGCCAGCCCCGGCCGAGAGAGGGGGGTCCGGGAGCTATAGCGGGTCGGGGATCGGGGAGGGGGGGCTCTGGAGAAGTGGAGAAACTGGAGGCATCTGCTGGGCCACGGTTACCGGCTCCCCGCTCCTCCCAGAGCCCGGGGCCGAGATTTGTTTTTTCCCTCTGAGTTTCTCTCTGCGGTTGCGGCCGCGGGGGGCGTGCTTTCCCCCTTTCTTTCTTTCTTCCTTTCTTCCTGGGGTTCCCGGGAGGTTGGCGGGAGTGGCGGGGGAGGTGGGTAGGAAGGAAGGGGGTGGGGAGAGTCGGCCCGGGCCGCGGTGGGCTTGCACAATGCGCGCGCCTCCGCGCGCTCAGCACCTTCGCTCCCGCCGCAGCCGGGCTGGGGGCGGGGGAAGGGGGCCTCTGGCATTTGTGTGTGGGTGAGTTGCCAGCGGCAGCCGAGTTTGTGAAGTTGAGCCTCGACCCCCCTTTCCTTCGGGGCCTCTCGGTCCGCTTCAGTCTCCTGGGGAGTCAAATAATTGTTCTCTTGTTTTCCAGTGTTGATTAGGGGTGGGGGTAGAACCAGTCCCTTCAGTTTCTTGCTCTTTCTCCCCCTCCCCCTCCCGAAAGCATTTATTTTCCTCGCGGCCCCGGAGCTTTCTGAATACTGGATCCAGACTTTCCTGGAAGTTGTTTATAGAGTTAGTACTTTCACCCCTTTGCTTCCCTTGTGCCTTGGAACTCGGGCAGGCTCGCGCTTATCAAACTTAGTAGGTTCACGTGTAGGCTTCCCAATTGTAGACTATTATTTACAGTCTGCTGAAATGCTTTTAAATTAGCCACATCTGCACGTTGCGCAGGACCTGAGTTGCGCTTTACTGTGCCTTAGTTTTAACACAAGCCTTTGATAATACATTGCAGGTTGACTCATAGGCCCAGTCCTGCCTAGATCAACTGTGATTAAAAGTTACTGTTTGGGAAGCGATGACTAATTCGAGGCTCGCCATTACTTTTTAATTCTTATTGAGAGTATGAACGTGGCTGTTACACATACACAGCGTTCGATTATTTTGTCAGTTTGATGCAACATGAAGTGAAACTATTATAAAAGTGTTAACATTTCGACAGGTCCCAGTTGATTTGTTTAGCTTTTTTCTTTCTTAACCTCTTTTTTTAAAAAGAACTTGCTTCAGGCTAAACTTCGGCTTAGGAACTTTGCCCAAAAGTTAATTGGTTTTCCAAATACTGCAATGTGGTTAGTCCACTTGGGCTGTAACTTGAGTGAAAAGGAGAGTTATCGCCCCCATTCCCATTCCCCCACCTATTTGCAAGCCTGTCGTATGTTCCCCTGCCTTAGACCAAGGGATTTTGGAACTCAGAAAAACTCACTTAACCTGTTGACAAAAACCTAGGTTAAGAAGGAGGAAGTAAAAACAATTTAGCTGCTTTCCTAAACACTTCAATTTGTGAGGAGCAGGCTTTGTGCCTTTTTCTCTTAACCCTGCGAGTGGGTTTCTGGACTCGTTATGGGTAAATGTGTGTTGGCATTGCACCCTACAGACTACATGGCTCTGCTGCTAGCTAATATGTTTTCAAAGTATAGTACACATAAGAGATTGAATCCCCCATTTTGTGGCACCTATAAGCCAAAGAGAATTGGAACTGAAAAGTATACTTACTCTTCTAGTAAATAATTGCACGATAATTTATATCCAGTAGTTTATGGATTTATGCTGTTGTCTTAGTTTTGTTTATAGTAAATTTCTTAACTAACTGTTGTGCATCTGTAAGTTTGACTTTTATTTCTGCTAATGATTTCCTAATTCAAATATATCCTGATTGGAAACTCAGAAATGTACATGACTTTAAGGCATAAATGCCTCTTCTGATTGCTTCCAGTTTCCCTTCCTTGCATATATGAATCTAGGAAATTCTAACTTTTTGATCATCAACCATTAATTCTATTAATTGAATTTAAGTAACCGAATATGAATAGTGTGAATATGGGTTGTAAACACTATTATCCACAAAGTATAGTATATAAATTCATTCATATATATATCTCCACTTTTTTTCATCATGAAAAAAGCTATTTAAAAATGAGAAAACTGAGACTCACAGAGATTAAGATACTTACACTAGCTGGTTTTGACTGGAATCTAGACCCTGGAGTGAGTGCAGAATATTTTCTGCTGTTACACAGTGGTAAATATGTAAATGTGTAAGTTTTTAAGTTATATCGTAATTGAACGGTTGACATCTTTATCATCTAGGTTCAAATACATGGCTGGGTCTTCATTTCATGCATTATTAGGTGGTTTTGCTAGTTCTAAATCTTTTGCATTCATTAAAAGTTGTATAATTTGTGATTGTTTTATTGATGGCATTTGTCTATGATGAGAAAAAAAGACAGTTGGGTTTAGGGCTTGG